CAAAGTGCTGGGATTACCAATTTCAGCCACCGCGCCCAGCCCGTATGCAGTATTTTTACCAAGAATGATCACTCCTTGGAAGGCAGCTATTAGGATGATTTGGGTGGATGTCTTAGTGTCTTAAGGAACCCTTTTTATCTACCATTTGAGAAAAATATCTCACTTAACACTCTTGTGTATGACCCAGAATTTTGCAGGCCCCAGTAGCAGGTGGTGAGAGGCCATGGGAAGCCTAGAAAGTAGTGTAAGGTAGCACTCCATGGACTTTTCTCTCATATGAGTCAAACCCTGAAGCCAAACCATTCCCTCTTGCATTTCAGGGTACAGAAAACTATTCCCCTGGGCATCAGGTCTCCTCCTCCTCTCCTGTACACAGTAGCAGATATGAGGGCCTACCAGAGTGTTCTATACCATTCCAACCCAGGTCCTGTGCAGCCCCAGGTTTGTGGCCCTTGCCCAGTCCACATGGCAACCAGGCCCATTCTCTGCTGATGCCTCTCCTAAGTCTTGCCCTGGCTGTGGGCTGGGGTATTCGCCTGGTTACATCCAAGTCCAGGACCACCTCTCTGCTCCTCCCCAGTCCCACTGGGTTCTACCTCCCTGCTGGCTGGTTTGTAACCTGGCTTGTTAAGGAATCAGATGATCCACTACTTTAATTTTACTCACTCTTCGAGGCAGAGCCTTCACCATGGGAGTTGGTCACGACTCAGTGGAAATTAGAAAATTTGAATGAAAAAGCTGCAGTCTGTTCAAAATCACCCTTTTCTTTCCTGAATTCTTCTGTTCTTTAACCAGCCTCAACCTCCTTGTCTTGGCAGGACTTCACTGAGGCGGCTTGTTTCCTCAAGTCTTTTAAATACATCTCTGAGATCAGGGGTCTTAAATTAGAATGCTCAGACTCTCTGCAAAAAAAAGAAAGATCATTCTTTTAAAATTTTGTGTTTTCATTTCAGTGATAGCCCAGCAGAATTTCTTTTACCCGTTATGAAGACTAATCACTCTGGGAGAGGTAATTTGCAATGCAAATGCACCTTTTCTCTCCCCTCTAGATATATTTTTGGCTTCTTAGGTCAGCGTTCCTCAAATTGGAACCTAAAAATATATTCTCAAAATAACATATCTCCCGTTAAAGTGGCCTGTGCATTGCTCAGGTTTGAGAAGCTGGACTTTTGAGTGATGCCAGCATTGCCAACTCCCCAGATGTACCCCAATGCAAGTGAATTCAGAATGTGCAGGAGACCAGGCCCTCCCTAAGGGGCATCCCTACACGCCTTGTCTTTGTTTGCACTCCTTGGTCCATGAGATAAAAAGCAATTTATGCAATTTCTCCCCATATCGTCTCTCTGTGTGTGGCCTCAGGCTCGAGAGCTCATTCTCTCCATGGGGTAGAAGGTCCGACTGTGTATTCTTAAGGGCTGACATGTTCTAGTCATACCATCCTTTTCCAGTTCCATCCTCGGACAGTGAAGTGCCTCTTCCAGTGTGCTTGGAGTCAAGGTACAAGGGTCTATGACTTGAAACCCCAATACAGCATCATGGGGACTGAACTACAATAGACAGATAATGTCTAGGATTATTGGCATCCTTCTGGAACTTTCTATGATGATAAAGTTTCATCAGGAAAGGATGGCGGCATCACCATTGGCAACTTTTTCTTAATGTTTATCCCGCTCTCCTGCCTGGCTCATACTTAGCTCTCAGAAAGCAAAACACCTATAGTTTCCTTCAGGAAGCTGGCATGGGCTGGATAGACGTGTTAGCCAGTGTTCTCCAGAGAAACAGAACCAGTAAGACATAGACAGAGAGATATGGGGAGTTTTGTTATGGGGATTGGCTCATGCAATTATGGGTGCTGATAAATCACAGGATCTGTAGGCTGGAGACCCAGGAAAGTTGCTGGTATAATTCCTGAGACCTAAGACCTAGAACTGGGAGGCCAATGTCCAACTTCAGGAGAAATGGATGTCCCAGCTCCAGAAGAAAGAGTGAATTTACCCCTTTTCTGCCTTTTTGCTCTATACAGGCTCTCAACAATCTGAATAATGCCCACTCACATAGCTGAGAGTGATCTTTATCAACAAAATTAAATGCTAATTTATTTCAGAAACATCCTCATGGACACACCCAGAAATACTTTTTTCTGGCAATCTGGATACTCCTTGGCCAGTCGAGTTGACACACTGAAATGAACCATCACAAGAGGTGAAGCTTCCTCTGTACCATGGGCATACCTCTATCACAGCTTGTAAAACAGATAGCTTAAGATATAGCGCTGTCTATCCCACAGGGGAGAGAAGAAGCTCCTGCTTGTCCAATAAACTTTGTAGAATACAATTCTGTGCCTGGCATAGTGCTATGTGTCTGACTGTAATTATCCATGTGCTAAAAATAAATTGAACACCATGGAGGATAAAAGTAGAGAAATGTGCTATGGACATAGTTAAATTATCTACTGGACTTTTTTCCCCCTCAGTTTTGATGGAGACTGACAATGATCAATGATCAGTTTTCCCGATTTATTTAGGTGGGTCTATGTGGGTATCTTCCACAAATTCTTCAACATCCTGCCCACTTCTACAGTATTGCTGCACCTTCTCCATTCATGGCTTTAAACTCTGGTCTAAGGCACACTTGGCTTTATTCTTGTGGTGGCTGTCTGGAGGGTGGAGTTAACTGAAAATCTTTTTCTCTCCTTTCTGTTAAGAGCATCCTCATCCTAAGTGTGTTTCTTGATATGTGTTGACGTTTGTAGGTCTATACATGGACAAAAGATAGCATGGGACTACTTTGGGCTACTTTGGTGGGTCTGAAATGTATTTCAGGAGATAGCAGAAATCCAGATGCCCCATGCACCTCCCACTCCTTCAAAAACAGAGTAACAACAAGACATATTCACTCACAGAAGGCACCTGCACGGTTACGTCTCGCGCTTCATAACTATCGGGGAAGAAACACTTTTAGGCGGAATCAGACAGTAAAAGATCTGTTTTGCAACTCTCTGACCTGTGATGCAGGGGCTTTCACTTGATCAATGTCTCCAAATCTCTGTGGAATTCAAATTTGGCCAGAATGAAACTAGACCAATCTGGATCAAGCCACCTTCCTAGGCTGATTTCCCTGCTGGTGGGATCCCTTTGGCACAAACTTCATGTCAGCTCAGTTGGGTTCCTGGAGCAGCAGGGAAGCATCCCAGGCAGGAGGCATCTCCAGTGCTCTGTCACCTCAGGGCCACTCAACAGTGGAAACGCTTATCAGCTGGTGACAAGATGTTTCTCTAACGTTGCTCCTGAGGTTTTATCCCCCAAGGGAGCCTGCATGAATCAGTGGATGTAACTTCTGGTAATTCGAGATCATTGTTAGATGAAACTCAGAGAAATATCTTGCCCCAAACAAAGTTCAGATCGCACTCTTCACACATACTCACTGTCCTTATAATGATCCTACCTGGGAGGGCCCCTTGAGCACCACTTCACAGATGAGGAACCTGTGGCCATGGAACCTGTAAGAGGCAAAGCTAGGATATGAATGGAGCCTCACAGGAGAGTAAGTGGTGTAACATTCAGACTCTCTGTGAGAGATGGCCTGGGTTTCCTCCCTGGGGCTCCAGCTCTTGTTAGAACCCCTGGGCAAGTGCCGTCACCACTCTGCGCCTCAGCTGCCTCATGACAAGAATGGGATTTGAGGCTTGCGTGGGTCAACATTGCTGCAGACTCCGGATGGCCCTGCACACAGTCAGCATTGGGGGAAGGGAGCTGTGCTGTCTATGCTCTGACTGGTCTCATTTGCCCGACAAAGGCTTGTTGGATGCCCGACAGGTTCCAGTCACTGTGCTGGGCAAAACAGGTGACACACAACAGAAGTCGGCTGCCCTTGGTGCTCATGGTGTCTGAGGGAACCTGGCAGATGGTCAGGAGGTCACTGACAATTCAGCACAGTTGGGGACATACACACATACAGGCCCACACACATGTCCATGTACAAACACACAGCACATGTGTGAACACAATGCACTCGGCACACATGTGAACAAACAGCACAGAGCACACACATAAACATGCACACACCCACACAGCTCATATGCACACACACCACATACATACACACATGTACACATACACAATGTGCATACACAAGGGAGTCTCACACATAGGCTCAGGGACAAAACAAGGAACACAAGCCACATATATGACTATTCAGGGAAGCAGCTGTGGAGACCTGGCAGATTCTCTGCAATTTGTTCTCAACTTGGAGTGTAGCAGTATTGTGTTACAGATGTGAAGAGGTACAGCTCAGCAGGGTGAGATAGATGTCTGTCGCCCAGCTGGGCAGCGTGGTCTGATCGCAACTGTGGAATCCTGCCAGTGTTGGGCAGCACGCTGCCACCCACACCGATCAGGAGCTGCTGTGGCTGGATCGTCCTTCAGGGATAAAGGCCAGCGTGAGGCCTACTGAAATGGTGATGAGTGGCTGCACCTGCCTCAAGTCAACATTTACTTGGTAAAGCAAGTTGTGCCCTTCTGCCTGGAGCAGGTATTCCCAATGCCATGGCTGCCACAGGATCACAGGAGGGAAGGGAAAGCCGCCTCACCCATCCTTTTCTTTCTGGCCATCAGACTCTGGAGTTGAGGATGGGTAGAGGAGAGTGAGACTCTCTGCTGTTCTTCCCATGAGGGTCGCCTGCGCAGGCGAAGGTGCCCTCCTGCTGCTTTAGAACCGTGGGGCATGGGACAGCCGGAACACACTGTTTCTATCCGCCTTCTCCGTCTGCACTTGGTAATTATCTTTGACACGAGGGCGTTTATCTATGGGGTTTGAGCTGTTTGGAGTGCTTGGAGTGTTCCCAAAAAGGAGTAAAAGAACAGCTCGTTCCAGCTTAAAAAAAACCAAAACCCGAAACTGCTAAGTGGGCTGTAGGGCTCCCAGCCAGATCTTCATGGGTGGGGTTAATGTAAAGAGCAGTGATTAGTAACAATTAAGGGAAGCTATTTTGCACATTCCCTGAGCAGAGCTGTGTGTGATCTTGACATGGCGGTGAACTTGGTTGTGAGGACGGTGACATGACTTTCTCACTGAAGCGATGGATTCACGCAGCAGAGGGAGTGAGCTGGCTGGGACGGGCTCATCTGCTCATGGAAAAGAGAACCACTGAGCTATCTGTTTAGAACCCACTGCGTGTGTTTTCCTTGGAACAGAAACAGCATTTTAACACTGGTTTCACTGATTATGAGAAATTGATTCCTGGCTGCCAACCATACGCCCTCTCTTCATTCCCCAGTATGGGACGTGGGATAGATGGTGCCAAGCTGATACAAGTCCACAGTGCTTTCTTTCCTACGGAAGCGCCATCGGAACCCTGTGAGACTTTACCAGGAACCCATAACATTGGACTTGCTGCAGGGTGATAACAGACCTGAAGGCCAAGGTAAGGGACACACATGTTTTATAATTTATGTGGAGAGACATACACCTTTGCGTCTGCTAGAAACCATGCATTGGGTGTTGTGATGCCTGGCTGTGTGGACCAGCTGAGCCATAGTGAATCGGCAAGCAGGTGTCAGGGAAAGGAGGATGCAGGCTGAGCCCTAAAGGTAGGGTAGATTTGGAGAGGCAGAGGAGGAGAAGGCCTCCGTGAGCATTTCAAAGTCAGCATACAAAAAGACGGGAGGCTGAAGTGAATCACACACATGTCTGAGGGACAGATGATAGCATTTTCCTCATGTTGCAGGATCAGGTTCCAGAACCAAAGCCTCCTGTGTGCTCCTCTATCTTGCCCATCTTCTGAGGGTGCTCAGGTCATGAGTGCCCACATTTTTGGGGCTTCTGGGTTCTCTTCTAGTTCTCTCAATCCTCTGAGCTGCTGGTTCTCCTGTTGGAGGTTGCTTGTTGGATACTTCTAGCCTGGGCTTTTTAAAACTGGAGGAGCATGCTTGGGCTCCATGAGGGCTGAGCAGAGATATACAGGGAGGCCCACATGTGATATACCTGGATGTCTTTAGAGGTTATAGCTAAGTTCTACCCCCTCAGCTTGACAAATACACATGCACATCCTGGGAATGGGAGTTGGTGGACTATGCTTCAGACCTGGTTTGTATTCTGCAGATCTCAGGCACACCCAGCCCTGTCACATTGCCTGTGGCTGTTTGCATACTATGAGGCAGAGTGAACGAGCCATGACAGAGACTGCACAGCCACAAAGCAGAACATATTTACTATCTGATGCTTTTTGGGAAGAGTCTGCCAACCCCTGAATTGTTTAGAATTCTTTTTTCCTTAGAGTTTCATGCTAGGGTATGGGATTGTGGAATGGGCCATGCTTCAGTGAGGACCTAACCCTTCCATCCCACCAATGGCTGGGTCTCCTGCAAGGGGCCTCCTATATACATGGGTGGATACCCCATCTAAGACCATGTGCCCGTGCCTAGTCATGCCTTTCTACAGACTGCCTTCCTTGGCCAGCCTTTGGCCCTAGAGTCTGCCATGAAGAGATTGTGGCAGAGAAGGGCTGATAACAGTTAAAACTATTCCTTTTAAAAATCAACCTGCAAGCTCCAGACTTGCTAGACAATGGGATGTGAGAAAATCAAATAGCCAAATGTCGTTTTCCTGAAAATGCAAGCTAGTAATCCATTCCCAACCTTACCCCCACATCCTCTCTTTGTGAAGTTATTGGTTTACAACCCTTGCTTGTCATGTGTACCCTGAAGACAATTCGTTCTTTGAAAATCTGGTTTTGCTAAATACAACCTTGAAAATTCCAAAGAAAAATGTATAGCCACAAAACCCGACCCCCTCCCTTACCTAAACTAAGGTATAAATCCCTCTCCTCTTTCTCTGAGTTGCTCAGCCTTGGTGCATTAGCCCACTGAATTGCACTGGCGCTAATAAACTGCTACTTCCTAAGATAGCCTTGGTGTCATGGTTTCTCTGTTTTCCTGCAACAAGATCAGATCCACAGGAGAGGTCCAGGTGGGCCCTGGTCAGATGTGGGCTGCCTGAGTGACGAGGACCAGGTGAGGGCTGTGTGTGGATAGTGTAGATGGATGGGTTTCACTCCTAGATGGGGTCTCACTTTTGGCTCCATGGATTCTTCACTCCACTCTGTAGGAGCAGAAGGACCAGCTTGTAAGTATCGGGCCCAGGGCAAGAGCTCCTCTTGCTTTGTGTGCAAGGATGGTTCTGCTGACCAAGGAGAGGAGTATGTGGGGGTGGGGGTGGGAGGACTGATACCCTATAAACTGCAAAACAGCACCCTGCCAAAAACCTTGGAGCAAATCCTGAGTGCATTTGTGAATGCTTTGACCTCAGGCTCTAGACAACATCACTGGGTCAACAATCTTTCTAGTCCTTTCCCTGATGTTGGGACTCTGATCCTCTAGCAGGTATGTTGAGCTGGGCTGACACTTCTTTGCTTTTACTTGGCATGACCCCAATGGCCACTTTGGAAGTATCATCCTCAGTTGGCTGCAACTGACCCAAGAATCAATGCCTATGGGGTGTCCTGTGTTTGTTTCCTATTTTTATTTTATTTTATTTTATTTTATTTTTGAGTTGGAGTCTCACTCTGTCACCCAG